AAAAAACAGAGCAAGCAAATTGTATTGCGATCGCTACGAGGGAGAACTAAGTGAACCTACACACTCAATACCAAGCAGAAAAGTGGTTCAGGCCACTACTGTCGCCCGTAGGCAATTCCTATTAAGAATTTGTACTGGCGACATATAGCCCTGGCGCTGGGTCCAGGCAGCTCCGCCCTCTACTAAAAGAGAGGCGGCTCTGCCCATCATGGCAAAAAGTTTTTCATTCGCGAAAACATCCAACGGGAATTAAACAAAAAGGAGACTTCTCAGTCGACTGAGAATTAACTAATGCTTAGTCCTTTTTTACAATTTTATTTATGCACGTAAAATATTTTAAGAAGCGTATGTCCAAAACCTGATTTACTATCGGAGAGGTCGTGTCGCGTTAGAAGAAGCAGATGGGAGGAAGGAAGCACTTAATCACCCACGTGATGGGTGGAACCTCCATGAGCACATCCTCATAGTCAACACAGACATGGAATTAGCCTAATTTGGAACTTCTCTGACAGGACTGGTCATGATATGAAGGCATCCGCCGCACTGAATGATACGACATAGTGGAGGTATGTTGTACCTTTAAGGTATCTTAGCTATGCTTCTTCCATGCCTTGTGTTAAAGAGGGGTAATGGGTGGGGACTATAGCCCCCCCCCCCCTAAAACACACACACACACACACACACACACACACACACACACATTTTGTTAGTTCATTGAGGCCATGACCTAACTCTCACATGTGAGTTTTTACATGACACACTCGCTATGCATTTCTGGTTTGCATCTACTCCTGAAAACTGGTGCCCTAGCACGAGGCGACCGAACGATGCCAACACACTAGGCCTTCTCCTCGTCGTCGTTGTCGGCAGCGGCTTCCAGACGGTGGTGGCTAGGTTTCTAGGGTCGTGTCCCACTTCTCTCCCGCCCTCCATCCATCACCATCAGGACTCCCGAGTCCGGAGCCCGGCAACAGGTACCTGCTGCGCATGTCCCTGGCTGAGGCGCCTGCTCCCTTGCAGGACGACGACACATTGCAGATGGAACTGGTGCTTCGGTTTCCTCTGGTGCCCCATCTCTAGGAATCGAAGGCTTTGATGTTGCAGTGTGTTCCCTGCAGTCCTCCGGCGTACGATGGTTGCTTGGCAAGTGGGCTGTCCTGACATAGGCTAGGTTGTCGCCCATCGCCCGCCTTGTGCTGATCAAGGTCAGATGTGCATCGGCTTTGTTGTTGTGTAATTACCACTGAAAAGTCTTCATGAGGTTTCTTTTCTTTAGATTCGGTGGTTGACTTCGACGGTGAGATGCAAATTATGGAAGATGGCTTGACACGGAGGGATGGTTGTGCAGCGATTGCGACCACATGGCATGTAGCTGCTGGATCACAAAAAAGTGGTGACGACAATACATGAGTGATGCCGATGGTGGTGCCACTCGAGCTCCGGGGTGAAAGCCTAGGTCTAACCCAAGGTGGTTATACCTGGCAATGGTGATCATTTTATGTCCTTACATTGTTGAAGGCATTGCTCGGATATGCTCGAACTGCTTCTTCAGGGTGAAAACCTATATTCTTGCCTTGTGTGGTTGGATTCGGTGACGACGACACTTGAGCGTCGATGCTTTCCTGAAGAGGTTGCTATTGAAGAAACCTTATCGTCCGTGTGGTGTCATGAGATGGTTGGTGCAGATATGCTCATTATTCAGTTTGTCAAACACAGAACTGGTCGCTTTGGGGTGTTTCTTTTTTCCTCACCTGCACATAGCTTTATTTTTTGTGCATGCATGCGTGTGTTGGTGTTGGTTGTGTGCATTCTAACTATGCAGAGACCGGGTGTGTACTCATTGTGTTCGTATCATCTTAATGCTTCATTTTGAGCCAATAAAATCCATCCTTGGAAAAATGCATTTATGGTTTTAATCCTATATGTGGTTGTGTCCGTGAACTTAACAACATCTGTAGACATAATCAGCTCGAGCTTCTTAAATTGTCCAAACTTCCCTAAGGCCTTGTTCGGTTCCACGGGGTTTGAGGGGTTTGGAGCAGATTGGCAGGGATTAAATCCCCAGCAAGTCAAAATCCGCATCAAACCCCTCCAATCCTCTTCAATCCCCTTGTGGTGGGAATTAACCGAACAAGGCCTAATGCATAATGGCTAATGAAGTGGTACAAAACTGAAGGAAGTGTGGGGGTAGGAATAGATTGATATCCAAAAGCAATTGTGCAGATCTAGGAAGAAGACTTCAGGCGATCTAATAAGCCGGTTGGATTACCGTTGAAGATACAGTTTCACACATCAAGACTGATTTTTATTTCTTATCTAACTTTCACAATTGAGGATTAATGGTAAGCACTCCAACAAAAAGGGTTAGAAATAGTGGCGATGGGATGTGACATTGCCACAATATGTGAGTAGAAATTTCAAAATTGTCAGCATAGGTACTTTACTTTCTGTTGTGTAACAACCTGTGCAACGAGTGGCTTGATGTTGCCTGCTTTGACATGAAGGTGACGATGCTATGCACAACTAGTTCGAGCATCGACTCAGTGGCACAATTAGTATGAGTCTCAGGAACTTGTGTATTCTCGCAATGTCAAGCTTGACAGAAACAACCTCACTGAGAGTAGACACTGATTGATAGAAACAACCGCACTAGGGCCATCTTATAGCTCCTCGCATGTTTAGGGTATAGAGTATGCGTCAGACCAAATAACACAACTTTTGTTAAGGATTATTGAACACCAAAACAAAAGTGATCAGAAAGTGACAAAGAAATGGAAATCATATTATAGTTGCTAATTCAAAAGCCTATATTTGGTTTCCATTAGATTTAGTCATTTTTAGCAACTATTTATGCATATCTTTATTGAAAAGAGTTTCTCTCTTTTTAGATGCTCCATCTGTCTTGATTGTCATATAATTCAAAAGTTTATATTTGATTTCAATTAGATTTAGTCATTTGTAGCAATTATTTATTTGTGCATTTCTTCTAACAAGGTTCCGCAACAATGCAGGGGGCATTATCTAGTTAAGAAACATGGGGCCGCCAAGGGAGTGAAGAGATGGAGTAGCTCAATGACGGTAGAAACAATTGGGGGCCTCATGGGATCGGGGCGGACAAGCAGAGCAGCATCCGAGCCGATGTCATGTTCTAGCTAAAAATGACTACACCTCTTTTTTTTTGAGAAATCACCCCCATTTATTTAAGACTTAACATTTTGACATCAATGCAAATAATAGCAGGAGTGGTTAAAAACCAAACATGACGTCCAACAGGGAGCCCAGTTTGGCGAAGCTGTGTGCTTCAAAGTTGGATTCCCTCCCGAGGGGCGCAAATAATTATCCTTCAAGTGATTTACCTCTACCACAAAATCAGTATTCAAACTCGATGAAGATTCAAATCTGCAGCCAGTGCAAGGGCCTCGGAACACACGAACCGACTGAAAAATATCAATTCCGTTGGTCTCGTTGGTTAAATTCATGGTCAAACTTAGATCTCGAAAAGCGTAGACGTATTACATTGTGGAATGGAGGGAGTACTACCGGAGCCTGTATGGTGCTGACAGCAAACATGTATTGACTGACAAGAAGAGATAAGTTAGCGACCATGATGCACAGCATACGTTAATATCACAGGATGCGCATCTGTTCAACAACGCTAGATGCATAAGGATTACAGCACAGGTAATCCTGTTGTATGGAGTTGACGACCATGGTTACCAAGGCTACTTCAGTATGATTAATATAAATGGTTTAAAGAAAAACAAGTGTTGGGTTTCTTTTCCTATACATGTCAGTATATTTTGACAGCCAAGAGATGTCGCCCAAGCATTCTGCACCTTCACAGCATCATTCAGAGTCACTGTAAATCACAATTAACCTTCACTTCTTCACCATGATTTCTACTGGAGCAAAGACTCCACCACTATCAGAATTCCAGATACTGCAATTCACCAGAGCAGCAAGATCATCTGTAGGAAATGAACAGATAGGACCACATTGTATTTCAGCATCTGTTCGAGTAAAGCAACGAGACCAGTGAAACATCCACCTGAAGACAGCCATTTTACTACTGAATCCAAAAGAAAATCTTTGTAACAAAGCCCCCCTTATAGATTAGGAATTATCATGTACATCACTTCTATTTTACATCACCAGCTTCAGTTGTACAGACTAACTGGCTATTGGGCAGCAGCAATGGAGCCTGCATGTAAACAAAACCTCTGTTTCAGTCTACGATTCGAAGGATCAGAAAATACCATGATTGCTTGGCGTTTACAGAATACGGAAACTGAGGAACCAATAGTATTATGGCCAGATGCCTTACAGGCTACTAACTAGCTCCACCTTCCATTCTGTGTGCGGTGGTCAGCTAAAGTTACTATTAAAATAATAACCATTTTATCCATTATATAGCTCAGTAAGTCACACAATGAAACCTTCAAACATATTCCCTTGGTCTAATCAATTTACCAAATTCTGTCAAACAGGTTTGTAAAATCAGCAAAGATCTGTCATTTGCAACAACGCTATGATATTTTAGAAGGGACCCACTAATTACATAATCTAGATGAGAATTCATAGTTATCAATATACAGTCCTGAAGGCTGGCAAAACAGCCTATAGTGCATACTGGTGTATCCACCACCAATCTTGAAAGAACACGTTGAATAGTATTATAACATAAACCAACCACCGGCAAGTAGTGGTCAATTAATCATTTACTTTATTGTCACAGACTAGTCTACTTAGTTAGAATATGTAAAGGTGCAACTGGCAAAGAGGCCTTTGAAGCCCATAATGTAGAATACCGAATCTGTGCATTTTGATAAGGCCAAGTGGAAAGAAAATTGACAGTGGAGTGTACTGTATATCAACTTAACAAAAGTGGGACAACTGAAAGGAGATTTATCTTGTGCATACAAGAGCGGGTCTACATATGAAAGGATGAAACAATGACACCAGGTAAGTAAACATTGCTTGAAGAAATGGGATGCATACCTCTAAAGAAGTTTTGAGCCTGAATTGTTCTGCGACTTGCCAGTGTTGGTGTAGCCCAACAATAGTCTAGAAAGAGGGTAGGGGCACCCAAAAAATCGAACAAGATTTCGCAATCCTTTCTCTCCATGAATATCAGTTGGTGAGCTTATATGGCTAAGATATGTATTTCCTTCATATATTAAGCTAAGTTGCTGGCACAGCAACACAGCTATACCCGCATTAACTGATAGACTGGCAAATGCAAGATATACCAGAATTATACCCCTTGCTGATAAGAAGAATGCAGAACTGGCCACGCTAGTAATGATCTCCATCAGTACTTTCTTAGAACCCATTTGACCATATGATGATACATTTGGAAACTCTAGAGGGGGCCATATAAGATAACTTGCATAAATGGTCATAATAGCAGCATAACTGCAACTCGTGACCACAGAGATGAGAAAAATGACAAAAGCTTGGTGATTTGAAGCTCCCACACAGTTCCCAATCTGCAGATGAACACAACAAAAAGGCAAATAAAACAAGACAAACCTAATTAGCAACAATTCACGATACAACAGAGTGCAAAATATATCAATATATCATTCTGGTCAAATTTATCCAACTTACAAATGGGCAATGATGATCCATGTCTATCACACATGTTTTACAAGATCGGCAGTGATGTGCTCTTGGGGGTTTAGGTTTACTACAATATGTACAGAAAGTATAGTTCTCAAGATCATTTTTTCCAACCATGGGATAGCTTCCCCAACGTATGCCTGGTGGTGCACCAGCAGACTTGAAAGAGGCCAAACAATAACTTGCAATTGTAAATATAGATAAGAGAGCTGTGACTGTGCAGTGAAACATGCCACAGAAGATGCTGATTGAGAAAACAACTGGATACACCGCCCAGACCCCGCCACCTGTGAAACGGCAAAAAGGAAACAAAATCAAACAGCAGTTCTATGGAACACTTCAAACATATTAGAACCATAACTTACATGAATAAACAGATAAGTCCTCATTTCAGAAAATGACAGTGAGAGATTTAGAACTTACATATAACGAAGAGCATGAAGAGGACGAGCACAATCACAAAGAACCCATCCCGGAAACGCCTCCAGTGAGAAAAGCATACACTGTCAGGTTTTCTTGAAGTTTGGTTGCCTTGGGTGACTGCTCCACACCAGCCACACTTATAGACAGGTGAATAACTTGAAAAAACGAGCCGAAGACCACAGCCCCAGCAAGTGGCTTCATGATCTTCCGGTATGGACGTCACACATTGTTCTACCTAAACGGAAGGAGGATGGTGATTAGCGCATTGCTGCAGGATAATTTAAAATGTTTTCATTGTGTTGCTAACCATAGCACGCAGGCTTGAGAGTTCTGAGTTGTTGTTTGTCCTACAGATTGTATAAATATCACTCTTTACAGAGTAACTTTGACCGAAGTCAGAAACAATTATTGGTGGCCTTGGTAACACAGGAGTGCAGTAATCCATACGCACAATAATTTGAGTTTTAAGAAATTTAGTTTATATTGGTGAGCTATAAAATAAAGCATTGGATTTTACATGTTTAAAATAGGTTTCCACTAATGGGCCTTCGCAAGAGACTAGTGCACTTGGTGCCTCAGTTCACAATCCAAGTAACATAAACTGAAAACACGGCCCTAATCTACCGAGGCTGATGTCATAGGAGCAATTTTGAGATGAATTTCTGCATACTTTACAGTTATTAATCCCTTTGTAGCTACCTGCTGCATATCTGAAGAAGTATATAGTAAGTAAGTTAGCCTAAATAAAGGCAAACATGCCCAAAATTTCCTGTCTACATTGACCTTGCAGTAAGTATGTTTTAGTGGTGACCTTGGTTACATACAGCCTCACAGCCTAGTGTGATCTCGAGCCAAATTGACGACATCAAAGCCCTATTCTGCAGGAGCAAGAGCAACCTTCGTAGCCAAACCGTGAGACTAATAATAACAGGGAAAGAATTACAGCAGCACTGTTTGTTTCATGAGTTGCATAGAGCAGAGCAGATGACTTGTGCTGCTCTCCTCACAACTCTATCATCATGTACAAGATGAATTATAGTCGCATGGAGTGTACCACGGCTGTGTGCATGCATCTAGGAACACCATGTATCTCGACTGTAACTCTTATCAATTTGAAATAAAACTCCTTTTTCATCGCCAAAAAAAAATTGTGCTGCCCCGCTCATTGCTCGTGAGTTGTGTTCATCCCTACCATGTCGCTGAACGGAGCGGAAGGGGGCCGGGAGAGGGGATGGGGGCCAAGCTTGGGCGACAGCCAGCGTCCGGGACGGTCCAACCGCGCACACGGGGACGGGGGATAGGGTGCGGAAGCTCGAAACCGCTGGCGGCACCTACCGATTCGCGCGCGAGCGTGTTTGGGGAGAGAGGGGAGGGAAGAAGAAGGGGGGAGAAGTACCTCGAGGAGCGGCTCCTGCTGCGGCGGCTGCTCCCCCATCGCCGGAGCAGATCCGGCGGCGGCGGGGTCTGGGAGCGATGATGAGAGATCGGAGGCGGCCGGGAACTCGGCCGAAGCTTGCGGCAGCGGGAGGGGGCGAGGAAGAGGGGGAGCAACCGAGGCGCAAATCTCCGTCGCCAGCGGAGCGGAGCGGACGGACCTGGTGGTGGTGGAGTGGTTCCACGAGACCACGACTGGGCGACGAAGGATTCGAGGGAAGGAGGAGGAAAGCGAGGCGGCGAGAAAAAGTTAAAATATTACACGCCGCGTGACCAATGGTGGACGACGACAAGTCGGTCGGTCTAGGTGGTGCGGCGCGAACCGGTCCGGCCGGTTTGGTCCTATGACTAGGAGTTCGGCTGGTTTCAGTCTGAAAAGTTAGCTTCATCCACGCCTCGAACGATTCCTACTACTACATCCCACTTTTCTTCCGACGAGAATCATAGAGTAGTATCATACATACGATACTTCTTTTTTTTCGGTTTATAAGGTTTATCTTAAAATTTTAGTTTTTTTCATTTTATAAGGCTTAATTTGGTTGTTTCCTATCACATGTTCAGACTTCAAGGTGCATTAAATCATTGCATTCAAGTATTAAGAGAAAACTGATCAATACATGCATTTTATGCATACATGCATTGCAATTAATACATTTGAAAACATAATTTTTTGAGAAAAACAAAAGCATTAATTGAATGCTTTTGCAAACTACAAAAAATATTTCACCACTCATCATCTACCTTGATTGATGAGATTTTTGAATTGAGCCTTATAAACCGGAAAGGATGGAGTACTAGCGTATGATACTACATCCCTAATGCATAATATCATATGTTGGTATCATATAGGACTACATTTATTGTCATGCATGACACAAATTAGCACATCATTTAATATGATACGGTATCATGATATGATACTCAAGCCTCTCTTTTTTCATTTAATTCCATGTCACTTCATCAAGATTGCTTAGTTGGCATGCATGATACTACCTACGATATTCCCATTATGACCAGCCTAAGAGCATCCGCCGGATGATCTAAACCCGTCTCAAACATCCGGACAACGGCCTCTCTCATATCCAGTCCAAAAATGATGTGGATATCGGGTGTCTGCACATGTCCGCCGACCTCGCTGTAAGTCGTAGCGGTCCCACCTACAGCCACTGAAGCTCATTTGTCTCTCATTGCCACACCCAAATTTTAGTTTCATGTAGCCGCGCGAGGCGGACGCGGCCGGCTTAAATAGCCGCGTCGGCGGATGACAGCAAGCTTCTATGTTGTTGCATAGGTCAATCAATTCTCATTGCGTGAACGAGATAACTTGACACTAGATTGCATTTTCATTGATCGACGACTGTTCATCGAGTGTCAAGTTCGTCTCATTAGTATATATTGATACCCTTACTACGGTGATAATAAATTTTTATTTTAGAAGAAAATAAAACAATGCTAACGTGAATGTTTCCCTCGTCAACCATGACTATGAATCTTCTATGTGATAAATATATATCATTCGTATTGATGGTCTATCCTCTTAAGAAAGTATATATCATTCGTATTGATGGTCTATCCTATTAAGAAAGTATGCAATGATGTCAAAAGCCTACCGCTTCTGGATGATCCGGCTATTTAAGCTGACTGACTTGCTCGTCATGCGGCTAGATGGGCCTAATACAGATGTGAAAATTTGAAGTATTTTTCGGTGTGTTCTGACAGCCCCGCCGGCCCAAGACAGACGTGATGATCATCTATTTTAAAAATAAAGTATGTGATTGCAAATGGTAAATTTTAAAGCCTGGCAGATCACTATCCGCTTGCACATCCGCAGACGTTTGAGGACCCAAATTTGCGGGTTCCTGCTGTAGATGCTTTAACACACAACAACCCAAGTGTATAGTACAATGACTAATGTAACATATGGCAAAATAACACAGATACTGGGAAATACCTTATACATCTCATATGACAAAAGAAATTAATAATTAGAAAAGGTCAACAAAGTTTGAAAGTTTTTATATATAACCTGATTTTTTTAAACTCACAATAAACCTGACTTTCTTTTGCACAAGTATATAAATTTTCACGAATAGAAAACCAGCATTGACTTCAAAGCAAAAAAAATGTTTGCTAGTTATTATAGGTAACTATTCACACTATTTTGACCTTTCTTTGTCTTTTCTGAAAAGAAGTCAACAAGATATTTTTCCTTTTTGTGAATTTTTTTACAAGTACATTGGAAGGTTAAGTTTATTTAAAATAATTAGAATTTGTTAACCTTTTATTTAATTACTACTCTCTCCATCCCTAAATATAAGTCCTTTTAAAGATTCCAATATAAACCACATACCAATATATATAGTCAGGTAAATTATTTGGGAGCAAAACAAGAACATGTAGCAGACCAAAGTCTTTCCATCATATGTTTCTTCGTCAAATTACATGCATGTAATCTTCTTGCCGAATACAGAGGCGCACACACGATCCAATTCTCGCTTCAGCCTAGGTGGGAGAGCAAGGACACGCACGACATGCTAACACGAGCTGCTACTCCAAACGCACTCTTCTTTTGCTGTAACCACCATCACCACGAAAAATACGCAGATATATCTTCCTAACGAACCAACAAATCGAACAAGGCGCATTTCATATCCGCAGCTGCTGTCCATCATCATATGTCGGCTGAGAGGAAGTTGTCAGACAAGGTAACCTGGAGAGGAAACGGAGGAGTCAGCAAGCATATCACATCGAAACAAAACCAACTTCATGAGTCTAGCTAGGGTTGAAGAGAGTGATTGGTTACCTTCTCGCCCAACTTGAACGGCGCCAGGCCTCTGTATGGGCAGGTGCTGCATCGGAACGCATCGCCCAACCCACACTGAAATTGCAGGTTCACAGAGAATAATGTGAGATATTCAGTTGACCACATGCATGCAACGACCAGTGGAAATCACCATTTGGCATTTTATGTCTACAAAGAAGCAATTGTACTTACACTGCCACAAGCTGAGACAGGGTTATCAATCTGTTCTGCAGTGAGCCCCAGCTTCTCCACCTTCTGCTCAGCCTCGGCCCTGCCACAACTGCAGTTCTTGCACGCCTTCTTTGTAGCTCCCACCTCACAATCTCCTACTGATGAAGCAACAGCAAAACTTTCAGCATCTAAACCTAAATAGAACATCTTCACAATATTTAAACAAGATCGAGGATTTGTTGGCTTTACCAACTGGAAGCTGTGGCTTCTTCAAGTCCTCCTCAGTCAAGAGGCTGTCTTCGTCAATCAGTTCATCATCATCGTCAATTTCAATCTTTGGAAGAGCCTTTACTGCTTTCTTCAGGGGGAAGGAAGAACCCATACTCCAGGAGGGCTTCTTTGCCTTGATCTGCAAGTGATTCGAGTTAGCACTTATCATAGAGAATAGCATGTACAGTAGCCTTAACACAATGTGCCATACTCACAGTAACAGATTGCACACTATCCTGCGAGCTTGTGGCAGAAGCTTGCACTTCAACAAAACCACCCATGAGTAGCTGGCGCTCGATATAATTGTTTGGCTAATGCAGAGGAAAATAGAGAATCAGGCTGTGCTAAATTTAAAATACAGTGAATGTGAGCAAAAACAGACACACAATTTACCTTCTGATCAGCAGAGGGTGTGAAGCTCTGTACCAGCACAATTCCACCAGCTTTCAGCACTCGGCTAATTTCAGCAACCAACTTATCCCCAAAGCTCTCCACATTTTTTATGACAGATAGAACAGCACCCACCGATGCATCATCAAAAGGCAACTTCCCACCTGACCCATGTTGACAACAAATGTATATATCAGATTTATGACAAACTGAATTTTATACTGTACAAGGATATGGCATACAGAAACATAGCATAATAAGAACCGAATGCAACTAACTAAACTAAGCGTTTACACCCCAGCTTCTGAGACACAATGGATGGTATGTTGACACTACAAATTCTGGTTGATTTACATAGTGTGAATTAGCACTACATTGAAGTCCACGAATGGATAGCCTCGTAGGGAACATATTTTCTCTCAATTTCTTTCGCGATTAAAGAGAGAATACCAACCTACCTTTTGTTTTCCAACCGTATGTGTTTTGTGTGTATTCTTATATTTGAAAGAACTGGGCAATTAGCATGAGGAGCTTCAAGTCAGAAACTAAAGCAGCAGCAAAGGTAAACTCCAATCCAGCATATCAGGAGTGCACATAGATTGCTCAAAATTGAACTGCCGCGAAGTTGGAACAAAAGACTAAATTAGGACCAGCACACAGGCAGTGTGCTGATAAGAAAGGGGCAAGCATCAAATCTGATTCTAGCCTATCCCTTGAGAAATATTATCCCCCAGATGTTACTTATTCTGAACATGCAGCGGATTCCAACCCTAGCATAGGCATGTGCGTGGCTACGGGTCCCACCTGAGAACCATGTTTACAACAAAGTTCTACAAACAGGTACATGACAGACTTCAGTTTTATATACAAGGATGTGTCATATTGAAACTGAAGTCTACGTAAGAGTCATCAAGAGCAAAAACAACGCATGTCAAATCCCAGATTTGTGAACTAGAACTACACAACAATTAGATTGCCTGTCCATAAGAAAGACGTTGGGACAAATAACATAGTGTAATGGCAATTCATATAGCAGACCATTGAGTGGTAGCCTAATAGCCAAATGTTCTATTCTGTGAGATATACTAGTATATTTTTCTCCCAACCGAAACGAGAATATAGGCGTCGCTTTTTTCCACGTTTTTAACCAGCAAGTACATATGTGTTTTCTGTGTATTCTTTACATGTGTAGAGTAACACTCGAGTTAGCAAAGATTGTCGTATGTAGAATAAGTTTAAACCTATCAAGTCTAGATATCAAATATTATTCGCTCTGATCGTATAATCTGAAGCATAGCAGAATGATAAGTGAACACAGCTATGTGTTACTCCTCCCAGCGTTATGACACCACAATAAAACATCTGTCCTCTCAACAGACATTAGCTAAATTACATAGTTTGCACTAGCACTACATAAGTGCATGAGTGATGTCCTGATGGGAAAATGATTTTCTCTCTTTTTCTCTCGCGATTAAAGCGAGAATACCAACCTTTTTTTTTTCCTTTCTCAATTGGTAGTATGTGTTTTATGTGTATTATCTTAGCTTATATTTAACAGATAGATAGGTAGAGTGACACTTGAGAACTGGGCAATTAGCATGCGAGGCATAAGCTTCAAATCAGAAACTACAACAACAGCAAAGGTGAACCCCAATCAAGCATACCAGGAGTGCACATAGATTGATCAAAACTGAACCAGCAGTGAAGTCACAACACAAGACCAAATTAGAACCAGCCACAGGTAGTATGCTGACAAGCAATGGGCAATCTCACATCTGATTCTAACCTAGCCCTCGAGAAATATTATCATCTCAGATGTATTTATTGTAAAGGTGCAGCAGGTCCTAACCCTATCATAGGCATACGCGCAAACAGGTGCATGACAGAGTTAAGTTTTATACAAGGATGTGGCATGCTGAAACTGAAAGTCCAAGTAAAAGCCATCAAGAGCAAAAATAATGAAATGTTTACTCCCTGATTTGCGAACTCCGCAGCAACTGGATTGTTTGTCCATAAGAAAGATGCCGGGACACATAGCATAGCGTGTAATAATAGATAATTCATATGGCAGCCCATGAGTGGTGCGCTAACAGCCAAATGTTCTGCCTCGGATTTTATAGTCTAAACATGAGGCGGGTTCTAACCCTAGCATAGGCTGGGCTACGGTTGAGCGAAATCGCGGCTACGGGTTCGGGTGACAGGGGGAAAGGGGCGAGATGGAGGAGGCGTTACCGACCGAGCGAGGCGCACTGCGTGATGACGACGACCTCCTCCCGCGAGACCCCGGCGGCCGCCGCCAGGTCCCCCACCGCGCGGAGCGGCAGGGCCAGCTCGTCCGTGACCGCGAGCGCCGCCGCAGCCGTGGACGCCATGTGGCCCGCCGCCGACGGAATCACCTGCAGCGGCGAGGAGGCGGAGAGGGGAGGGGGGAGTCAGATGAAGGGCCGGCGACGGCGGCGGGAGGGTCGCGCGGATCGGGTGGAAAGCAGGTGGGGTGCTTACGGATGGATAGATCTGACGATGGAGGGAGGGCGGGCGCGCGAGAGGGGAAGGGGAAGGGGAATTCGGGTTTTGGTTGCGTGCGCGAGCTCTGGAAGCTTCCCTTTCCGTGGCGTGGCGTGGCGTGGGCGCGGTGGTGCGGCAACGAGAGGAGGAGGGTGGGAACGGTGCAGGGCGGCGGCACACGGGCTTGTCTCGACCGTCTGGGCCGGGTGGCCTAGTTTGTTTGGCAAATTTGATAATTTGCCATCCCTTACCTCCTCTTTCATAATCCCCTCCCCCCCCTCCCTCCCCCCTCCCCCTCTTCCTCCCGAGAATGACAGTGGGGTCCGGGCCCGTCCATCATTGAGACAATGGGTGGCAAATTGTGAAAGGGAAAAGTAAGGCGTGGCAAATTAACAAATCACCCAGTTTGTTTGGCCCTAGCTAACTCGCGCGAGCTCAAACGCCAGCGCTTACGCTCGGGAGCTCCTGCTCCGCGCGCCGCATAAGCCCAAGCCGTCACACCCGCCGTCTTCATGCGTCACCATCCTCGTCGTCGCTCGTCAGGTCGATGTGGAGGAGGAGGGGGGGGGGCGTTTGTGCTGTGCAGGCGGCGGGGCTGCTGGTGATGACCACGGCGCCCATGCACGCTCCTCTGTGGCTCCTCCAGTCCTCCTTCACCTCCTGCTTGACGTGCAGCTATGGCACGTACACGGTGCACGTCTCCGGGGGCCAATAGCTCGAGCATCTCCTGCAGGCCCTCCCACTCCTCCTCCTATTGTGCCTGTACTCCCGCTCGAAGTCCTCCATGCCAGATTGCAGGAGCCGCTCCTCCTCGGCCGCCAAGGCGGGAGGCTGCGGGGGTGGCAGCGGCGGGGAAGGAGACGACGTCGGCGTCAGGACGAGCACTCTTGACGAACTCAGTGCGCGCACACAAGGCGCATGCACGGGCCGCACTCTGGGACACACGGGGCGGGCTACGACCACGGCCGGCAAAAAAGGTTTACCGCCGCATGCCGTGCTTGTCCTGGAACTATGTGTCCCAAAGGGACGAGTCCACGGCGTACATGCGGTCGGCGAGGAGCTCGCACGGAATCCTGGCACAACGGCGGGCGATATCCTGGAGGCAGGCCCGCCCGGGCACCGGGACAAAATAAATTACATATTACCCCATCTCTTGATGTGTTTCATACGTAAGGAGCTTGCAATGGATGACTTGCAGCAGCAAGGGTAGTCGGTGTTGGGTGGATACTGAATACATGTCTTAACATAACATTGATGATCACATAATTGTTTTAAAAACCACAACTAAACACCATTATCTCTTGAAGGTCCATTTATTGATACGATCTATGGTGTTTCATTAGATGGATGGGTTATTGGTTTGAGCTTCATTCCCTTCATGCTTTAAAATATATATCAAGAACTTCCTCCTCGACTTCATTTCCTTCATACTTTATTAAAATATGAGAAATATGTCTTACTCTAGTAAAGGGACATCATCAATCATACCGATGGACAAATAAAGCTCATCTATTAAGTCATCGTTTGTTGGATTGACAATCGGTGCAAGGATAAATGATTGTGAGATGAGCTCAACTTCTGGTGATGTGTTTGGGGGTCTATCAAGAATCATACAATCCGGGGTCGGTGTTGTTTTTGTCATCTTTCAAGTCTTGATTTCTAATATTATCATCATTTTATTCCTAGTCCACTAAAATGACAACTAGTTTTGATCTAAATATGTTATATGGTCCTATACAGTAGTAATAGAGTTAGTTTTGAAATAGTGACATGGCATAATAAGTATAATGATACAGGACGAAAAATACCTGTAAGCAAAAGGAAAGAAAAGAACCTCATCTTGGATTTCTTCACTTGCGTTATTCATGGTCATCCTAATCCACCACCATCCGTTCCCTTATTCAACTGGATGACCGCAGAGACAGATGGGGGAAGGCGAGGTGGTGTGGTGTTGGTGGCCACGGGGAGATTCAACCCTCCCACCGCACAGGTATGTTCTGTAAGCCGCAACACCTGTTAAATCTGTTTAGCAACTATCAAGCGTTGTGTTAATATTAGAACAGGCTGAGAATCAGAACAAAACAGATTACATATTACCCCATCTATTGATGTGTTTCATACGTACAGAGCTTGCAATGGGTGAGTTGCAGCAGCAAGGGTAGTCGGGGCTGGGTGGATACCGGATACATGTCCCTGGTGAACCGATGCTAGCAAGAAGAAGGTACTAGACGGAACTGGAAATGTGTAGTTAACACCACATTCTCATGAATGAATTCGCAATTTGGGGCTGGTCATGACCTCTTGCCGGCTGCTCACCAGGTTCGCCTCTGCGAATTGGCATGCGGAAGCTCGTCTTTCATGATGGTTGATCCATGCATGCATGATAACCTAATTTTTCATGTTATTAGTACATGTGTACCATTGGATTTTCACTATCACATAAGGTACTTTCAGTTCGAATGATGTGTTCATTTGATGGACACATTCTTGTGTTCTTGATACAGGCAATGCAGAAAGGTCATCAGCGTACCTTGACCATTCTCTCAAGAGTTAACAACTCTTCTGTGCAAGGACGTCTAAGCTGATCAGTACTATAACATTGTATATAAATCAATTGTTTACGACTTGCGGTTTTGTCTCAGGAAGTGTCAAGGTAATGCTGCTATGTGGTTCTGACCTGCTCGAGTCATTCAGCAAGCCAGGGGTTTGGATTTCAGATCAGGTACAAAACTTGAACACTTTTTGGTACCGAAAGGGGATGGGAGCAACAAGTCTGAATCAAAGAGTATGTTTTTCTTTTCATTCTTCGTTGCATTGCACCATATTTTTATTGTTCTAAGAAATTCATGTAGTTGTATATGGAACATTTCCTTGATGTGATGGTCGGGCATATTTTGTTTACTAAATCATGCTTCCAGTAAATATTTCTTAGATGGCTTACCACAAGCATTAGTACTGCAAAAACATGCTCCTATATTCTAAACCGGCCGGTTCATGATAGATCAACAAAATCTTGTTGATGCTCTCACCTATTAGGATATGCACATGAAAAAAAAGGAGATACCAAAGTTGTGGATTTCTAACAAACAGACATTCAAATGCACCATTTTGCACTCTGGAAGCAGGAAGTGAAACTTCTTTAGTTTTCAGAATTAGAATGGATCACAAAAGCGGAGTAGAGATGCATGGGAGGGAGCACGGAGGCGGAGCAGGCGACCCTCGTCCAGACGCCACAGACGGGATCCCTCCTTCCTTCATAGGGACAGGGCTTGCATGCTCCCATCCGTGTTCCCACGCATTGGACGCTCGTCCTTTCCCCCCAAGCTTATTTCCTTTGAAATAAAAAAATCACAAAAAAATACTAATCTTATCTGACTGCCGCACTCATCGGCCTTGCGCCGAGCCAGCTTACGCCCAACGGCTGGGTCAATATTAAGATCTTCTACAACCGCTGTGTTTCCTTCGGCGTGCAGCCGTCACTGGCATTATTCCGGCAGGTCTTCGACCTGCGGAAGGTGCGCAAGACCAGAGATTATGTTTTCCGTAACCCCTTTCCGGCGAAGCTGCCCTGTACCAATGCTAACTGGAAGAAGAGATATTTCCTCCTCTTCTCGCCGGCGGCGGCGTCGTGGCCTTGCCCCGTGCAGTGGGGCGAGCCGTCTGAGAAATCTAAGATTCTGCCGGCGCTCGACGACAATGAGACGACAGCGGTGGAAAAGCTGTTGGGTGCGGCGAGGCCCGACGCTGACGCCAACACCGACGCCGACGCCGACGCCGACACCGACACTGACGAGCGATCGCCGTTCTCCGGGAGGAAGAGAAGCCTTGACGAGGCTAACATGCCCCTGGTTGAGGTATGCTTGATAAAAAACAAATCCCTTTTCCATCGTTTATTATGTGCATGTGCATGTCTTCATCGGCGTTGTCTTATCAATCGCAGGTCATGGAGAAGCAGATGAAGATGCAGAAATTGGTCGCACAGAAGGTGGAGGCGGAAGTGAAAAATTTGAGGGCCGAGCTGAGCGTTGCCAAGGAGGAGGCCAAGAAGGCGGCCGCACATCAGGAGAAGCTGAGAGCCGTCAAGGTCGCGGAGGTGAAAAAATTGAGGGCCGAGCTGAGCATTGCCAAGGAGGAGGCAAAGGCGGAGGCCAAGAAGGCGGCCGCACTACAGGAGGAGCTGGAGAAGCGGAAGGCGGAGGCCAAGAAGGCAGCCGAACTACAGGAGAAGCTGAGAGCCGCCGAGGCCGAGAAGGTGGCCGCTCTACAGAAGCTGGAGAAGCTGAGAGATGCCGAGGCCAAGAAGGCGGCCACTCTTCAGACGGAGCTGGACAAGATGAAAGCCGGCAAGGACAGGAAGTCGGATCATACTACGGTGAAGACGAGTGCAGAATTTGCCATTTACCTCAGTTAACTCTTTGATTAGCTGTTCCTGTTCGTCAGGTAATAAGCGTATCTACTTAGTAGTATGATCGCTTTTGTCCCATGCTTATCCCTCTCTAGCAAATGTGGACTTGTTGGCAGTTTGGTAGTATGATGGACTCCTAATATGAAATTACTTCTGCTACTTTACATATGCCACAATTTGGTCCTATCTACATTTTCGAAATTGCTGTTCAAAGGTTTTGTCATATATTGTCGCACACTCGCACCTGATGTCAGAACGCTATGTTTTCTCAGTGTTTTTCAGGGTTATATCCCTTCATCTTCATCTAGCCTTAACTCGCAAGGCTGTACTCCCTCCGTTTCTAAATTACGGCCAGGTTTTGTCTGACCAATCGCTGCTAGGTCCTATATTTCCTTCCAGTCCCTCCTAGATGCTGCAGCTTCCACACCATAACCACGGCGAATGTAGCTAACCTGACGGTGA